GGAGAAAAGTCACCAACCATTGAGCTATTATCACTACCTAAAGCAATCGAAGATGGGGAAAAAAAGGATAATTCAACAAAACCAAATAAACAGTATTAAGAATACAGAGTGAGAAGGATAATATGGTCACCAGAGTCTCCAGATCATCATCTTCTCGTGCATATTTTGCATAATCATTTCTAAGAGTTCTCATCAATATCATTGAGACCAAACCAGTGAGGAAGATAACCATCATGAATGAATTGAAAATGGAGAACCAGTGAATCTGCAGAGGGGAAGCATTTAGTGGTTTCAAAAATCAAAGTTCTTACAGGTAGGTATAAAAATGACATAAAAACATTGAATTAAAAATTCATCTTAAATAGCTCCTCAAATCCTGAAAGTAACAGTAATCAACGTATTGTGAAAACGGAAGCAACAACTGCTACTAAATAGTTCAGATTGCCAAAAATGAAAGCACAGCACATCTATCAACTCAGAGAAAACAAATCAACTAAACATGCACTCACGACCATTATTGACCTGGTGCTCAAAGAAAGGGTAGTCTAGATAAATGTCAAAACGTCGTGCAAAAGTGACATTTGTTGGAATCCATTTGACAGAATATGTCATGTCCAATTTCTTTCCCACTTCCAAGGGTTTAGGGGTTTCTTGAGTGAGATTAACATGAATAATCTGCAAGAACAAGAAGCAAATTTAATACCAAGGGTATGTCCTAAAAATTGAAATACATGATCCACCAGAAATATCAGAATCCATGACCTGATCTCTATTGTATTTGACAACAATGTTCTTGTGTGTGAAGAGCACATGCTTGCCACTCTCGCTGTTTTTATCAGGATGCAGATCACCAACAAAGCCTGAGCATCAATAGCATAATTTAATGAATCATATAAAACTATCTTAAGACTCAAAATTACTCAATAGAGTTAATAAATGTGCATACCCCATAAAGGCAGATCATCTGGATGGGTCTCATCATAAAATGGTGCCATGTTAGGAGAGGGAAAGACAAATAGGTAAGAGCTCCAAAAAAGAATATAATCAACACAAAAGAAACTCATTACAGACAAATAAACATGTAGACTTAAAAAGCATATTCATAAAGGGATCCAGGCAGTAAAGGAGCAAAACCAATGAACGACATACCCATGAAAAATTCAAACCAATATGTATTTTCAATTGCATCTTTGAATTGTTTAACCTTTGCTGCATTCAGTTCAAGTTCACAAATGGTAGCTCTGTCCACATTTTCTACAAGGAAAAGATAGACAAATGATGTGGTCAAATAATTCATTTATTGCTTCTTAAACATATTTGAAAACATGACACAGAAAGAAGGTCTACTTACTCTGGAACTTTATGTCAATCTGGCTGTCAATGAGTTCATTTCCACCGAGCACCTCACCAAGGCCACCCCACTTATGAGCAGCATTGCCAGGTGGTTGGCAGAATGGAAGGCTGTAATAGTTATATGTTTCTTGTGGATTATTATAAGGACCAACTTTATTTACCCAAAGTGTAACCAGATCATCTTGTTGATACTGCAGGCAGTCACCTCACACTTTTAGCAAAATCCAACCAGATAATACGTTTTACTCATCAAATTCAAAGTACCAGAAATGCAAAGATAATCAAAATGGCAATTTTAAGAGACATATCAGGATAGTTTCGGATACATGATAGATATGGTAGAAAAATTAAGATACACATGCAGACATTAGAGATATTCACATGAATCCTATATATATGATTTACAAGAAATCTGCTCTTCTGGCTATAAATAAGGTACAAATACATAAGACATATTTTAACCCTGTGAATAAAAATGGTCATAAATCATTGAAAATAGGTCACATTTACAAGATGATGGTCTCATTATATAGATAACCAAATAACATATCTCATAACCATCATAATCACAAAAAAACACAAACTTTGACCCTTAAAATGTAGGCTGAAAGGATAGTGGCATGACAACATCTTCAACTTTCCTAAATACTAAAAGCTTTCTAATAAGACTAAAAACTAATTTGACCATTCAATATGATTAACCTACTCCTAAGACACAACTAAATAGGAAAGCAATTTAAACCAAAAAAAAAACTCAAAATACTAAAATTCAAATTACCAAGAAAAAAATGAAATTTCCAGTGGTCCAAGAATGAAGAAACTTATACTTTGCTTCATGGAAAATTCTTGGGTCATTTCGGAACTCACTAAACCATCTGAATAACAAAGTTTCTGAACAGAAAACATGAATTGCAAACTTAGTAAAAACGTTAGCAAGAGTGGTGATGCAATTAAGATCGATGATCAGGGGATAGCCCAAATTATTCAATTTTCTGGTACCTTAGATTGATCCATCTATAATAAATGAGAAATTAAAGAGGATACTGCCCATAGATTAGAGACAGGTGGTTAAAATGGACATGTGCACCTAGTGTGTCATCTGAATGACATAAACCACTTACCAAAAAATAAGTGATAGACATATATCTAAAATGAAAATTCTGTTAGACAGTTGTAAGTCTATAATTGCTATATCAGACAATGTGCTGGTGATGCAGAAGCCAAAGAGTCAAAACTTGGAATTCCTGGACTTTTTATTTACTTAAGTAATGTTAGACAGCAGAGATATTTTGGTCATTTCATTATTGTTGTGGCATTTTGATCATTTACAAATATGTAAGATACAGCCTATTAGTTTGATTTATCTTGTCATATTTCAGTTGTTTGTAGAGTCGTTAGTTAAGTAGTTTAATAGATATTTAGTTATCTTTAAGCTAGTTTATGAGTGGCAGAATTTTCCTAGTTTAGAAAGGCATTTCGCTGACCTTGTATAGTTTGATATTTTGATGTATATACGTAAAGTTGCAAACAAGAAAAATGACTTTTGAGTTTATTTTCTACTTGTGTGACTTTTAGACTTGTTCATGGGCCGGGTAGCCAGACAGGCTGGCCTGGCCTGACCCGCCCCGGCCTGTTGTATATCGGGCCTTGACAAATTTTTAAGCCTGTAGGGTCGGGCTTGGGCTTTCTCAAAAAAGACAAACCTGAGCCCGAGCCTGACTTGATGATATTATATATAATAAAAATATAACATATATTAATTATATATATTATATATTATGTAATAATAATATTAGTAGCAAAAAAGTATATAATATATAATATATTATTAATAAAATATAATTAATATATTATAAAATATCTGTTCAAGTCAGGCTCAGGCTTGGGCCTATTCGTTTTTCTTTATAAAGAGGCAAAGCCTGGCCCATGAACAGGTCTATGTGTGATTCCAAAGACCCTACAGTCCCTATGAATGATTCCTAGGTTTCTTTGAGTGATCCAAGATGCTACACTTGGTCTCAATCATTCTGTTGAATGCCATATTTGCTCTTGATGATAGAATGTCACAGGCTCTGAGGTTCCAACTGGATGAGTAACAACCACATACAAGCAAGGTTCAAAATTTCGACACATATGCCCTGTATCGTATCGTATTAGTGACCTGTCTATGCAAAATTTAAATCTTTTGGGGTCAAAAACCATTTCAGGGGGTAGAAAGGCCTTAGACCAACCAAACAAGTTTTGAAAAAAAAATGAGAAGAAAAATCAAGCATTGGGTTCAAAGTACCAATACCCCTTCCACCGTATCGAGGTGTACCGATACTTTAAACCCTACTTACAAAGTAAGGAGGCACTCTTATCACTAGACCTCTAACCACCCCCACATCTTCTATCCTCTTAAAAGCTTCAGGCCACCTCAACAAGTGATTTATATCTTCCATGGTTTGCAATATTGGCAATATTTACGAAATTCCTTCAATATTTCCCCATTTTGCTAAGGGCAATACGAAATTACCCAAGAAAACCCCTTCCAAAGTTTGCAATGAGTTGATAATGGTGGGAAGTTACAAATCATGAATGCCTCTTCTAAAACCCAAGTCGTAAACAAAACCTTTGAAGAAGAGGGGGTAGCAACTAGAAAATATAGAAATAGGCTCCAATTTGAAAGAACGGAGTAAAAACAAGGAAATAAAACTATCTTTCAAAGTTGCCTCCCCTACACATAAATCTTTCCAAAGCCTAATTTTATTACCAAAACAAAGATTACACTTGATGCAATAATAAAAGTAGGGAGAATACCATGGATTGACTTCCAAGGTTAAGCTCATAATAACCTAATAGATATTATAGCATTCTAGCCATTGTCCCCCAAACAATGTATACTTTTTTTTTTTTTTGATAAATTCAAACAATGTATACTAACCACCGTTTTATGCCACAATTTATCATTTTCAATAGGCATCCTCCACAACCTTTTCCCTAATAACACTATGTTCCATCATCTCCCTAATCTCCTAAACACAAACCCCTTGATCAATTGATCTTTCCTTTGACATACTATTCCCCATTTTACCAAATTATCCTTTTCCCCAACCCCTAGCTCCCATAAGAAGTCTCTAATTATCATCTCCATTTTCCTTGCCACTGCTTGCCAAATCTCAAACACTAAGAGGTGATACACAAGAAGATTCAATAGTGTGGACTTGATGAGGGTAATCCCACCCAATGATTTAAAAGGCGCGCCTCAGGCACACAGGCGAGGCACATTTTAGGGTATGCGCTTCGCCCAGGTCCTAGACGCACCCCTTTCAAAAGGTAGACGCCTGATGCACCTAGGCGTGCACTTGATGCTTCGCTCACTCACAAAAGCTCCCAGAACCCCATATTTGCTAATGTTGTTCATTCATTCATTCTAATAAAATATCTCCTTAAAAGGCAATTAAAGTTATAAAATCATTATTTTTTATGTGAGAAATAAGAATTTAAGACCCTAACATGGATTTGTTCGGGTTTGCCTTGAGGGGCGTGGACGACTCATAGAATCAAGAATGCAATATGTTTTACATCRCATTAGCTACTTGAAGTAATGCAATTGAGGAAAAAAAGAGATTGTGGGTTTTACATGCTTGAAAATGCTTTATATGTTTGCTTTTATTTTTAAATTTTCATCTGAATATGCTTTACATGTTATGTTTATGTATTTTTAGATAATAGGTTTCTTAAAACATTTATTTTAAAATTTAAGTTTTATATTTTTTTTATTAACATTATTTTTTTTGAAATTTTTGCATTTTTAATTTTCTGACATTTTTTGTAGTTTTGTGCCTTGCTTCAAAAAGGCGTGTGCCTCGCCTTGCGCCTTGCACCTCAAGCACAAATTGGCCCTTGCACTTTTTTTGCGCCTTGCGCTTTTAAAACATTGATCCCACCTCCCAAAGAGACATAATTTCTCTTCCATACATCCAGATTGTTTCAAAATTTTCCTAGGAACGGATTCCATAAATTACTATCTTTTGGATTTGCACCTAAGAGAGACATAAATAACTAATAAGCCAAGGCATGACAAAACATCCAAAAACTTCAGCATAGAAGGTAATATAGTAAACCCTCTTCAACATTTATCCCTAATAAGAAGCTCTTATCCAGATTAATCCTCAAATTAGAGAGCTCTTTGAAAAGTTCCACCAACAGCCTTAGATTCTTAATTCATTGTGATCCTCTAGCCTCACAAAAGAGGATGATATCATAAAAAGAATTTAAGGTGTGTGARCACCATCCTATCTCTACCAACTCCCTAAGTAATATTAGGCAACATTTTAGACCCCTTTTTTTGTAAGTATACAGTGTTAGTGTAATGTCATGGACAAGGTCACTCTGGTCATGTTTCCAACGTCCAAGGATTTGGCAACAGGGTAGATTGGTCTGGAAGAAGAGAAATGGCCAGACCCTAGAGGGGCTGGCTGCACTATGTACCCTCCTCCAACAAGGATTAGGACCTTGTAGTTTTAGGGAAGTTGGTGACAGAGTAGGTTGGTAGAGGTGAGAAAGGAGAAAGAAAAAAGTGGGTAGCAAGGTTTAGATCAAAAAGAGGGGGAGAGGCGGAGAGCGAAATCTAGGTCCTTCATTCAGAAATGTGAAGGGGTGGACATGAACCAAGCCTTTTACAAGTTATTCAAGCCCGGTCATGAGAAGCTCGATTCAGCTTAATCTAAACCAAGCTTCAAGCTGAGCTTAAGCCTAATGAAGCTCAGCTTGTGAAACTCATGAGCCTAATCAAGCTTAATTATACATAATATTTTTAACTTAATATATGTTTAATAATAAATATTTTTTTTAAATGTATAATTTTTATATATAAAATCTTTTATATGTATAATTTTTATCTTTTTATACGTATAATTTCTAACATGTATAATTTTTTTCATTTTATATATGAAGCTTGACTCATTATCGAGCTCGAACCAAGCTGAGCTTGAAAACATATGAGCATTTGTGTCAAGCTGAATTCGAAAACATGATTCTAGCTCAAATCGAGCTTGAGCCCAAACTCAAGCCTCCTGTTTTTCTACCAATCCAAGCTCGAATAGCCAGATATTCGGCTTGGCTCGACTCAAATTCACCCCTAATGTGATATAGCAGCATGTGGCACATGCACGTTGGCACCAATGTGGTATCCTACATGGCAGGTTAT